TACCGGTTGAATGATGCCTGGCATAACAAATTTTACAGGTTGTAGCAGCCATTCTTTCTCTAATAGAGTTTAGTGCCTCTACATATGCAAACTCAGAAAAAAAACAAGCCTCATTGCCTTCCCTGGAAACAAAATCCAGTCTATCAGCAGAATACGGAGTGTTAGAAGCCATAAACTATATAAAAAAATAAGAGAAAAATAAATAAATAAATAAAAAACAAGATGAACTCAAAAAGAAATAAATTAATCTGGCACCAGTCCCCGGCAACGGCGCCAAAAATTGACAGGGTGTCGAAACCTGTGCAATAATAAAAACCTGCTCAAACTAAAAGTAATTTCTGTAGATAATGGTAAGTAGGGTCAAATCCACAGGGACTGGAAGTAATTGTTTCTTTTCAAATTCACAGTGACAAGGAGGTGTTTTTATGCAGAAGGCGACAATCAAAGTAAATCAAATAAAATCTAAGAAGCTACTAGAAATTAAATAACAAATTACTAAAATCAAATGAGTGATAATTAAGGATCTAGCCAAGAAATAACTTCAGCAATGGTTCACCTAATTGATCATCGAAGCAAGGGCAATTCCAATTATTCATCAATAAATAGGTTACAACTACCAAACAAGCGATGACAGTCAACCCCTCCTTACTGTGTCGGTGATCAAGGTACGCCCGTTAATCACTACTCTAATTAAGAAATAATCCTAGGTACGTCCGTAAGATTTAATTCCCCAACTGCCTTACGTACGAGAGGAGCCCTATTCTAACCAAATAACGCACTACCAGGGTTATTTCAGATTAGCCCGCGTATCCTCCTGACACGAATCTAATCGTGTCAGTTGTCACTATTTCAGGGCAATTAAACAATTACGGATTTAATATCTCAATTGACAATAGATTATTAAATTAACTAATTATCCGAATCCAAAACAATCAATTAACTAAACAACCATAAGCACTGCAACCAGGGAATATGCAAATACCAATAAATAAAAGAAAAAGATAAAATTAAATCGATCTCACAATTTTTAGACGACCCAAAGCATCCGTTGTTTCTTGACTAGAAAAAAGAATTTAGTTCATCCCTAACGAGGAACACTCACAAGAAGCGGAAGGAACAATTGTTTCCTTTGTCATTGACCGGGAAAACTCAATTCACTTCAATAAGGAAAAAGAAAGAACAAAGCTACAGCGAATGATTCATGGTTTCTCATGGTCTCTGACATACGAGAAGAAAATCACTAAGGAACGGAAAAAATGGAAAAAGTCCAAGTGAAAAGCTAATCTAGAGCTACGAGACAAAAGTCAAAAGCTAAAAAACAAGGTAGTGCTCAGTGTCAGCCATATATCAATCGTTCCTATTCTAATTGCTACTGTGCGGCGTCCGCCGCCCAGCCGAGAGCGGAAAAAGAAGACTTCGGCCTCCCCTTTTTAATGCTGTCTTCGGGCCAATTACCAAGAAGGGTCGCGGTTTGATATTTCAAAAATATCCCTAAATACTTGCTACTTGAATTCTTTCTTGATAACTGTCAAATTGACATTTGTTATGGTATTTTTGTTCTACTCCCTGAAATAAATATAAATTGCCAAAAGTGAGTAAAATCTAACAATTAATCCACATCGGGTCAGGTAATAGGGAAAATTAATTATAAAATAAATAATAAAATTGCAACCTATCAAACAGATAGGAAAGTTCTAATATTTCCTCTTTTCTTTTTTGTGGTAACTTAGGTCATTCTTTCTTCTTTCGTTTTTTAATCTCCTAAACTGACAAGCTAAGCCTTATCTGCTAAAATTTACAATTAAATATTTTTTTTAGAGCTGCCCTTAATATAATACTCCTTAGCACAAAGAGAGCAATAAATATAATGGAGAACCATAAGAGGATAATGGAGTATGTTTTAAAATTGAAAATGAAAATGTTATGAGTAATTTCCTTTTAATTGTACCGCATTTGTTGATTTTTGGCAAACCATATCAATTCAGTTGAAATTCAATTAGTAAAATTCTGTACTTATTAGAAGTCCTATTCTGACACCCACATTAGTTCTAAGTAGTAATGGAAGAGTTCTTATATTTTTTTTCCCCACTTCTTGAAGATTGTCTATAATTCTTTTGCTCTATAAGAACAGTTAATGGCATTTTTAAGAAATTCCACACAACGTACACTCCAAGTTTGAAGACTGACCTTGACTCTCAAAAGTGAAATCAATGAATCAAGACCAGAAAAACTGCATTGCGAGTCTTCAAGTTTGAGGGCCAGCGTGTTTAATGGCATTTCTAAGAAATTCCACACAACAATTCTAGTGGAATCAGATCAATTCCAAGTCATACACATTAAAACGCGTATGTCATGGTGTTTGTTTAACTCTCCATATGTAGTCTTTAAATCCAGACTATCTCTGAATACTCAAGTCGTTCTTTCTTCTTTCTTTTTAATCTCCTAAATTGACAAGCTAAGCCTTATAATCTAAAATTTATGATTTTTTTTGTTTTTACAAATCTGCCCTTAGAATTTAGCATTTACTCTTTAGCATAAAGAGTGCAATGATTAGATTTAACAACCACATGAGGATCATGGAGCATGTCTTAAATTTATTTACAAAAAGAGGGTTGCGAGTATTTCCTTTTAACTGTACAACTTTTGTTGAATTTGGGCAAAATTTACCAATTTAGTTGAAGTTGAATTTAGTATTTGAGCTTTGTTAAAAGTCGTATTCTAACTCTTATATTAGCTCAAAGTAATAATGGGAGAGTTTTTTTTTTTTCCCCCTTTTTGCTCTTATTGACAATTGTCTACAATTCTTTTGATTTATAAGAACAGTCAATATAGCAAAAAGCAACATCACAGATTGCCTACACTTCAAGTTTGAAGACGTATGGACAATGACTCTTAAAAAAGCAATCAATTAATCAAGACCACAGACACTGCATTGCGCGACTTCCAAATCAAACCGCGTGCTTTAACTATCCATATCACTATCACTGATTGTAAATGCAGAGTCTTTCAATCCAGACTACTGTACTTAGAGTTCTTATACATTTCATCTACCTTACGGTCTTACATTTATTTTTGATGTGCGGACTTTAAATGTTTAGTCCTACGCGCGGCCTGATGTTCCCTCCGGTGTTGTAAGGCTTGTAGTATCCGTAAGGTTTTGATCATGGTTTGTAGTTTAACCATGAGTTTAACTTGAAGGCATGATACCAAAAGAGATTGTAGAATCTCTCACAATTATACTAGCATAAGTTTACAATGTGTTATAGATTTTCAGAATAACTAAATGTCTACAATGAGTAGACCACTTTATTCGATGTTAAAACAATTTAAAGAAGAATTATCTACAATTTGTTTTTAATTGCAATAATTATAAGGTCATCTAACGGTATAAACTAACATAATGATTAAAACTATACATAAAAATTGTATAAAAGTGCACAATAATAAATTATGCATTGAGTGCTAGATGTATATTTTCATATACGCAATAGGCAAATAATGTATACACAATTTAACTATCAAATGAATGTTTAGTTAACTTGTAATTCATAAGGTTAAGAAAAGTTTAATGTTACGTGCATAAGATTTGTTAGAAAGAAAATAAAAATAGCATTGTGTAATAAATTTTATTTTAATGTTGCATCGGAGAAATGATGGTGATAACTGTATAAAATTTTAAAACTTTTGCGAGGCAATTGTGGGGTTAGAGGAAATATTACCAAATTTCAAGGGGTGCAAAAGTGAGGCAACAATAGAAGAACCTTTTTATGGACTATTCTAAAATTTCTAAAAAATTGAGAAGGTGCAATTGCGCTGGCTATGGCTCCACCAATATATATATATATATATATATATATATATATATTCTCATATTTTGCCGAGTGGATTTTCGTCTTTTTACCATGTGGCAAAACAAATTATAAATAAATTTTTTTTAATTTTTTTGTGGATTTTATTTTTGTCTTTTTTTCTTCGCAACCAATCTATTAATTACTTGCAGTATATAAGTTTGTATGTTTGTACCTTCTTTATTTTTTTTTTGTTAATCAACTCATATCTTTTCTCTTTTTAATCCTCTTCAAGTACATTTTCTATTTTTATTATTGGTTTGATCATTCATCATCATTAATTTGGACAAATTATGCCACGTCAATGTTGACGTAATAGTATCTATTTTCTCTCTTTACCTTCCTATCTAATAATTCTTTTTTCTTCTAATAATTCTTATTCTAATAATAATAATGTTATTTAATAGATTTCCTAAAATTATTTCATCATTTGTCTTTTGTTATCTATAGCATATATGTCTTGCATATTTCACAAGGAAGTTTTTGATTGATGGTCAAGTCAAGTGTTCTCCAATTTTCTTATTAATCAACCCTGAATCTCTCTTAATTAATTTTCTCAATTAATTGACCCAGAGTTAAATATTTATACCTTTTAACCATCTACTTTTTTAACATCATATAACTATGTATATCACATGATACTGATGATATTGAATAGCTGAATATATATGATATATGAATTGACAGGTATAATTTTGGTATGTTTCATCATTTTTCTTAACAAACTCAAATAATTGCTTTTTCTTTGATCCCTATAAAGTAAAGGGAAATGTTATATGCACTCCATTTTTTGCTATTAGCGCTTCCACTATTTGTTTTATCATATAATCTAATAAATAAAAATTATATGATTAAAATGATAGTGAGTGTGTGATCGACAAAAATAGGAGTGCAAATAATATTTTTCATAAGTAAATTATATTTATGTTTCCCTTTAACATCAGAATTTTCCTTTTTAACATTCAATATACTCCATTCGTCCCATTAAAAGTGTCATGTTTTCTATTTTGGAATGTCCTAAAATGTTTGTAATCTTACCAAAATTAAAGTTACTTTGATCACTTTTTTCAATGTTATCCCCTCCATTTACTACATTTCATATTAAATTCAAATTTGAATTTTGAATTTTTATGGGCTATTTTGAAAGAAACTAATGCCACTTCCAGGGAGAAAGATACAGAGAGGTACATTTTTTTTGCTAAGTTTAAACTATTAAGATTGTTTTTTGGTTGTTTACACTCCGTTCCTGTTGTCCTGCATCATTTTGCTGTCACCTAGTATCTCAGATTAGTTTTTGCTACATGTTGTTTATTGTTGCCCTGACAAGTCATAAAATTAATAGAAAGCTTAAGTTCATAGTTTATACCAGAAACCTCATGCTAATTGTTCTATTTCGGAACAGGGTCCTCATCATCACTACCTTCTTTATGCCTTCATTTTTTACTTTTTTCTGATGATCCATGTCCTCACTGGGATTTCTTTTACATTGTGGATTCTAATGTTTGCCCTCTAGTGGGAAATCCTAAGTGTCTATGATTGTAGTAATTTTTGCAACAGTTCACAGCTGTATTGTAAATACTGTAAGCATATAGACGCTAGTATTTGGAATATTAATTTTCTTGTTTCTTATTATTTTTTTTTAAACCTCATTTACTGAAAGCTATTGTACTCCTGACAATGGACCCGCTATAAGCTGTTGGAGTGTGTATCCCCATTTTATATAGTGTGAGCTCATCGTGATTTTATTAATATTTTTTTTTGTGTTTTTGGGGGGAAGGGGGGGGGAGGTGGGTGGGTGTTGGGATGGATGTGGGAGTCAGCATTCAGGGATATATATATATATATATATATATATGCATGTGCTTTTTAGAGTTTCATCTGAATACCCGTCTGGTCCTCAAATTCTTTAAGAGAAACAAATGATCTTGTGATGGTTTGTTTCGGGGTGGATCTACTCCAGTTCTATGGAAAACATGTGTAGTGAAGCTAGACTTTATGGGTTAAATCGTCCACAAGTGGAGACAGTGGATCCACTTGCTTTATCCTTATGAACAACAAAATACCAGGAGGACTGGACTCAGGTCATGAGATAACTTCTAATTGTATGATAATCTGTTTGGGCTTACAAAATTCTTCTTATTGTTCCGTGCTGAGTTTCATTCACGTATTTTATCTTTATACTGTTTATTTATGGTTGAACACAGTTTTAAGTCAAAATCACAGGTAAGGTGATTTTGAATAGCAGATATACACTATATGTTTAGTTGAATTGTATGGTTCATGGTTTGTGGTGTTGTGGCCACTTGAAAAATGGGAAGAAATCGGATTCAGCCACTGCAAAGAAGTTGGAGGTGGAGTAAATTGCATTTTGTATAGCTTGGCAATTTTATGAAGTTAACAACCGAAATTAAATAGAAACATTAGACAAAGCAGGATAGAGACCATAAATACATATAATAAAGTGTGAGTAGGTTCTGTCACCTGTTATGAGAGATGGCAAAATCATTCATTTAATAGCCTAAATTTGGCTTATATGGTATCTAGAAAATTGCAAGGTTAAGTCTTAGATCCTTTATGAGCTGTATGATTATATATATATATATCTATACCAACTTATTGTCCATATTTATGTCTATAGGAATTAAAAGAACAAGCTTGTGCATGGCATGATTAGATCAGCTCAGTTCTGGTTGTATTCTTGCATCTTGTCAATGTGGTTGAAGAAAGATTGTGTGCATGAGTTTTCAGCAATGTCATTTGGTATCTCTCCAGGAGGTGTAACTAATCTTTGACAGATGAGACATAAAAATGTGGCTATACATTCCTAGCAGGTCCCTGAAATCATTATAGGGTAGAAAAACTTCCTAAAAACTTGGGAAACAAAAGGTCTATGGGACAGTTTGTACTACTGAGGAATTGGCCCATGAAGCTTCTGAAGCTCCCCCCACCCCCACCCCCTTAAAAAAATCAAAAGAGAAAGAAGGATCTGACAAGGCATAGGATACTCTCTCTCCAAAATAATGAAGCCTATCCTTGTAGGGTACTGATTTTTGTCCAAAAGTACAATACCCTTTCCATGAGTCAGGTGTCCTTGATTTAAAAAATTTGGACTCTTGGTGTATAATTTTCAGGTCAGGATGTTAATCTAGAGCTTGAGTTTTTCTTCATCTACGGTCAGAGCTGATTCAATCACAGCAGCCACAGTCAACTCATTTTGTTCATTTTTGTTTTTTGTTCTTCTTAGTTTTCATTTTGACTTAAAAATTTTGTTCAAGGCTTTTCATTTGTTGAAATATGTGCTTTCTTTTTGTTCTGCAAGTCCTAGCTCAGTTGATGTAAGAAGAATATAAGAGGTTATTAGGATTGTGACTAGGGGACTTCTTCCATTATTGGCTACAGAAAAGCTGAATTTGTTGTTTGTGCTATTCCCATGCCCAAGTCTCCCCTTCGTTTTCCAGCTAATCTCATTGTGTGTGTGTGTGTGTACAGGCACTGCTTGTTTGTTTAATGACTAAGCTGTAGAACTTGCAAATAGAATAGTTTTACTTGAAGAGGTAGTTTATAATGCTTCCAAAATTATGCTATTCTGGACTTGGGGTTGTATGATTTGATTTTCTTTTCTTAATGATCTACATACCTTGTTGAATCCAACCTATGATTTGTTTGTATTTATCGTTCTATGTTATTTATTATTTTGTTTTTTGGCTTTCATTTCAAAGGTGCATATTGCTGAAGCTAGCATCATGTTTTGTTGATAAAGCCAGTGAGGAATTGATTACCCTGCTATTTAAGTTTACGAAACATGCTTTAGAGGTATGCTAGTACTGAAGCTTTTGATGATCTATTTTGCGTATTTGATGATTGATATGATGAGTAGACGTAAAATATTAAGTTTTTAGGTGTTGGAAGGAACTGGCCAGCCTGAAGCATATCAGACTTTAAGCAGAATAATAGAGGTGTGTTTTTGGTATTGCACCTGTTGGGATTTCCAAACTGTTATTTGCTTTTGAGTCATTGACATTGGCGTGATCTTGTCTGCAGAAGCATCCTTCATTTTGCTTTTCACACTTTGCTGAGTTGATGGACTTGTTGCTGAATCTGAAGTCTCCATACAATATTGATTCGCTTAAAAGCCGCTTTGCTTGTCTCCGTACCTTGTTTATCCATGCAGTAAAGGTGGGCTTCTTATTGTTGGTGTTTTTTGTTATTCCTATACGAATGAGCTAATTTGAGTGTTTTTTTTTAGTGTTGTATCCTTATTTAGAAATTGTTGTGTAGGTGGTCTTGATGTTGTAGGTGATAAAAGTACTGTAAGGAAATTGAACTTGCTTTTATGTGTTCGTAAAGTTGGCTTTATATCCGTTTAATTCTTCACGTATATTTGAATGCATGTTAACCTTTTGATTTGTTTTCTGCAGGAAGATTTGGATGATGAAAACACGAAGGCTTTTCTTATCCTGAATGAGATTATTCTTGCACTAAAAGATGTAAGAAACACTAGATAGAATTTATTGTAGTATCATATGACATAATATGAGAAAGGCTTATTTTCCATTTTCTGATGCACTCTGTCAACCTCTTCCTCCCTTTCTCCCAAAAAAAGAAGGCAAGACAAAGGAAAATGGTAGTACCATGCAAATAAAAATTGAGGGCAAAAGGAAACCTGCAGTCAATAAAGATTTTTGAAAAAGAGACAAGGGAACTTCTTTTGTCCATCAACAGTCAGGAACCTTAACTACAAGAAATTCTTTTTTTCCAACATATTCTCGATCATAACTGGAGTAGTCAATTCACGTGCAGGTTATCTCGTCTTAAGGTGAAAGAGAGCAGTTATCCTCTGTATTTATGCTAAATTATGGTCAAAAGTTATTAGTTTCAAATAGCCCTTTTAAACTTGAGCAAAAAAGAAGCGTAGATTATATCTATCTATATATATATATATTTTACCGCAAGAGGTTTGTTACTACAAACCATATTTTACTCATTTCTTTAGTTTCTTTTTTTTTTTTCCTTCTAATGAACAACCACCAAATGTCCTGTTTTAATTTTTTTTCTTTTCTTTTTGGGTGGGGAGGGGGAAGGGGTGTTTTTTTCAAAGAGGAGCAAAGTGTACCAGGAAGTTCTGCTTCGGGATGCATTAAACCTAATCAAACAAGTCCTCGAATGAAGTCAAATTTTGTACTTGTGTCAATTGCTATGAAGTTACTTGTGTTAAATAGAGAGGCCATGTGCATATGTTAGCAGTTTCAAGGTTTCTACTACTACCTTTATCTAACTACAAGTTTATTCAGGGATACAACTGTTTGTCTGTCATCCTTTTCTTGCAACTAATTATCATCTCAGATTTGCATTCAATGTTCATGTAGTTGTTGTAATTGCTTGCTTGCTCTTTTACTCAACCATTTTGCCCTTCTACCTACATTTACTTCATTACATGAAATGGACATTCATTGGCATGTACTTGTAGATCTTTTGGCTATCAAATGCAGTTTCAGTGATTTCAAGCGTGTTCTAAACACGTTTGCTAAGTATCTATTCATTGCGGCAGAACTGAAATTGTCAGAGTTCGTGTCAAATACAATGAATTCGTGTCTAATGTTGTCGTTAATGTAAAATTCTGGCTGCTGTTTCTTGTTCAGTCTGCGGAAGAAGGCAGAAAAGCAGCTTATGATGTCCTTACTGATATCAGTTCGAGCTTGCGAAGCACTTCCTGCACCATTTCTGATGGACATTTTCACAATTTCATCACCATGGTAAACATATCGTTTTCATATATGTTAGCTGAATAAGTAGTATTATTACATATTTTGGTTGCAAGTAATACAATAAACATATGACACGAAGTTTCATTGGGAGAATGGGTTAAAGAGTAATGATCACAATCTGTTTCCTGAGTATGAACCTACCTGTATTTGCTTCTTGCAAGTGTGGAATTTTAAACTACATTTCATAAAAATGTAAAGAACTTTTTCATTGAAAGTAAGTTTAGGACTGGAAAATTTTTATGAGATTTTACATCTGCATTATCTTTCCAGTTTCAGCAGATGTCTAAATTTGCCAAACCGCAACTTAATTCTGTTAAAGTGATTTGATGCCTCTCTAGGACTTGGTTGTTTCAACTATCAGGAACCTCATTTAAGAGACATTTTTTATGATTTGTAAGTAATAAATGCTGGCACGGGCACAGAAAGAGAACTAAGAGGACACTATTGCACATAGAAGTCAGATTGGTTGAACAGATGGAGAAATCATTAAGGATTTTGTCTTATTTGCATTCAAGTCCATAGGGGGCCTTAGGTTTATGTTACTGGCGATCATTATCAATGTCAGAGATGATATTTTGTGCTTTTACCTTGTCGCAGGGAACATATATGGTCAATAGCCATTTCCTTTCCTGATCATTTTTCAGTTCTACTTGTATCTGCTTTTTTTTGTGTGCTTTTGTGTTATCTGACTATGTTGTTCTTATATTCAGGTTATGGCTTATCTTACAGGGTCGTCCCCCCATATAAGGAGTGGTGCAGTTTCTGCATTGTCTGTACTTGTTTATAATGATACAGATTTATGCCTTTCTGTACCTGACCTGATTCCATCTGTTTTGGCTTTGCTGCAAAGTAAAGCTATTGAGATTATAAAAGTAAGTTTCCCTTGTTTCTTTACAATAAGTACCTAGAACTGTTGCATTAATGCTTACGAGCCATCTGGAGTAAACTTTTTTAGGCTGTTCTGGGCTTTGTGAAAGTACTCGTATCAAGTCTTCAAGAAAATGACCTGCAGAAATTTCTCCCTGACATTGTCAATGGGATTTTACCTTGGTCATCTGTGTCTCGCCATCATTTCAGATCAAAGGTATGTTACGTTTGACTTCTCATGCTTCCACACACAGAGAGAGAGAGAGAGAGAGAGAGAGAGAGAGAGAGAGAGAGAGAGAGGTCATCTTCCATATTATCAGTAAAATTGACATTCCCCAACAACAAGGATTGAGAATCTTGGAGAGGTAATGTAGTTAGACTCTGGAATATCGAGGTGTTAATTTCACACACATTTCTATCACTGTACCTTAATATTTAAATACTCTCTCCATGAAGTCAAGGTGCTGGCTGCCTTGTCATTTTCATTAGGTCATCTTTCGTTTAGTAGGATTCTTTGTGGTAGCCTGCAATGGGTGGTTCTGCTTGTGCTTTTTCGTTGTCTCAGCTCCTGGTATTGAGATCGATGTATTAGCATATTGTTATTCTTTTTTTCTTGCTCACTATTTTGCAGGACCAATCACTGATGATTATGTGCTGTCTATTCTAAGTCAATATCTTTTTTGTCTTTGTTTGTCTAAATTGGAAGTTGAATGTTACCAGTAGATGGAGAAATTGCCTAGACTTCTCTCTCTCCTCCCTCCTCCTCCCCCCCCCCCCCCAAAAAAACAAAAAAAAAAACCAAAAAAAAAAGTGCATGTGAACCAGAACAGATGCATGGATGTCCCCCTTTTCGTAGTTTTTTTCTCAGTTTTTTGCTATTTGCTTACAATTTATGGCTGTAGCCTGTAGCTTCAGTTGAATTTGCATTTTTGCATTGAGATTTGTAATTAGTATGCTTGTGGCATGCAAATAACAGGTCACAGTTATCTTGGAGATCATGGTGAGAAAGTGTCGAGTTGCAGCAATACAGTCACTTGCACCCCAGAAGTATCACGATTTTCTAAGGAGCGTCTTAAAGGTACCATTCTTCTCTTTGTCCTTGCTGAGTTTCTTTATGGTATAGAACACCTTTAGGTTTCATATCTTGTAGACTTGATATCACACCTACCAGAAAACAATTGTTGTCAGCAATGTGCAAGGGTATAGATTGAATTAACATGACATTTCCTACTCAAGTTAGACAGGTTTTGAATTAATTAACTAGTTAAACTTTGGCCTTCAGCTTGGCTCAATATACTATTGACTACAAGAAACATCAAGCTACTCAATCTTGAAGCTTGTGCAAGGGCATCTAGAACCAAATTTAACTGTCAAGCTAGTTAAGAAACCAAGTCGATGTTGAACAATGTAAATGTTTAAATTCATGCATTGCATTATCCTTTAAATTAAGTTCTAGAGACATATTAAAAGTGCTAATACACGATATTTTCTTATTGTGGACTTTTATTTAATGCTTAAAGCTATGGAAGCACTAGGCCTATTCAGCATAGTTGTTCAAATATGAGGTCTCCAAATAATTGCACTATAGTTGCAAGTCATACATCACAATGTCAAGATTCCACTTATCTAATAGGTTGTTGGGTACTTTATTCTGTGATTTATGCTTGCTTGCATCATGCTTCCTCTTGTTCCCCCATGTGCTTGTCACATAGTTTGCACCTTTCTTTCTCGTTTATTTTTTGTTCAATTTGCAGAATCGTCATGGCAAGACAAGTTCTAAGGATGCTGGCATCACTGAGACTGAATCAAATCCTTCAGATATATCCCAAGGGAGGTCTGATACTTGTGAAAACCTTTTCTCCTCATTTGATGGTTTATGTGACTTTTACATTTATTTCTGAAATTGAAATTTGTATGAACCCTCAAGCAAGCACAGGTGGCAAAAGAGAAAGTACGAGGAATCTACAAGTTCAACAAAAGGAGGAGGTTTGACTGGATCTAGGAAAAGAGCAAGGCACCAGAGACAGAAAGGCGATCTTCCTAGTGCCAAAAAGCCTTTTAAGCCTGCTAGTAGCATCAAATCACAAGAGTCAGTGGACAGAGAGGGTGATGCCAATCATGATAGACAAAATGCAAAGCAGTCACAGTGGCAAAGAAGAGATAGAAAGGGTAGTTTTATGAAGGGTCAGTCAAGGGGAAGAGGAAGAGGGATTTTGTAGAAACTAAGCTGAGGAATGGGAAAACTCATAAACCTGCTGCCAAGCTAACCAATCGTAAAAGGGTAGGGAAGAAGCAGTCGAAAATTAATAAATGAGATAGACGTGTGATTAAGTGGCTAAATTTAAATTGAAGCTGCACTCAGAATGACTTCTCTGTGTGCCCTGAATTTTCAAAATGTCGGTGATACAACCGGAGGATGAAGGTCAAGCACTTTCAGAGCTTGGAGGAGACAATATAGAGAATGAAGTGTGAAGTTTCAGCCACATTGGCTGGTTAACTGGAGAAGTTGAAATATATACGCAGAGGCTGCAGTCTGCAAGCACTCCGCTCTTGACGGACAATGGACTTCAGTTTCAGTTATACATTGGATGCTGCCGAGTGTTAACCGCAAAAGGGCGTTGAAGGACCCAAAGATGTATATTGTCTGATTACCAGCGAATATGTGATTGTACCCGTTTTATTTGTTTATTCCCATCCTCGAGCAACCTTCACATGTATTGTTTTTTTTTCAACCCCTAGACCATATTTGTAGTGTCCTAATGGCTATGTGGTAATATAAATGAATGTATACTCTGTACATGATTAATTACAGCGAGATATATCAGGGGAGCAATTTTCTTCTTTCTTAAGTTAAAATGAATGTTAACTGTGTTTTTTCCAACCCCTAGATAGTAAATGATTGCCTTGAACCCCTCTAGCCTTCCAGGTCAGGGGAGCAATTTTCTTTAGTTGAAAAAGTGTGTTCTTTCTTAATTTTGAAGATTTCTGTAAACATTTCACTTGTACCTTATACATGTTAATGCGGTTAAAAAATAGGATAAATTTTCTTTGGCCTAGCAAATAAGATGCAACCAAATCTACTTGCATAAAACAGTCCCAACTCAGTTGGGATAGGAAAAATAAGTGATACAGATTACTTCTCTCTGTCTCATTTTGGTAGTCCTAATTTTTCTTTTACACAGTTTAAGAAAAAGTTGTTAACATTATTGGAAAAACAAATTTAAGTTGCTATTTTTCTAAAATACCTTTACATTAAATAGAGAACAACTTTATATTAATTATTCATGAAAATTTGAATTGATGGTTTATGAGAACTTGAATTGATGGTCAAGAAAAAATCAATCCTCATTTTACATTATTTCACATTAAATCAAAATGTATTATATGGGGTAGGTTAACAATCTATATTAAATAAAGTATTTATACTAATAACAACCTATATTGAATATAGGTATTTTAGAGAAATTAAAAGATAATTATATTCTTCAATTGGAAAATAGATTACAATTTGGAACAGATGAAAAAGAAGATAGGATTATCAAAATGGAACAAAGGGAGTACTAAACTAGCTTTGAAAGAAAGATTAAATTAATAAGTAATACAGATACTAATAAACTAACTTTGAAAGAAGAATTAAATCCATACGCCTTTAATTTAAATCTACATCCTGTACAAGTTTAAACATTAATCATACACTTTATGCAAGTTTTAATACTAATCATCCAAGTCATTTTCATTCTATATTCAAAGTGTATATGTGAGTTATGGTACAGATTAAAATCTTCTTTCCTTTTTTTTTTTTTTTTGTCGACGGAGTGGGTGTCCGGGTCAAGTCCGTAAAGGCGGCCCGACTAATCCCACTTCGGCCCGGCCCAGCGTCCCAACCAATTTTTTATCGACGAAGTGGGTGTCCGGGTCCCACTAATCCCACTTCGATCCGGCCCAACGCCCCAACCAGACCTAGCACGTTAGATGCACGGAGAAACCGATGTTGCTGCGGAGGTTCGATCCCAGGACCTGACGGTCCGAGGAAGAGGCGTCAACCACCAGCCCATTCACATGGGGGCTTAAAATCTTCTTTCCCCTTTGTTAAAATTCGACCATTTCATTTGAATACTTAACGTCGTCGTTTTGGAGGCGTTTCCCACCATCACCGTGTGTTGTAAGCCTTGAAGCCCCCGAAACAGATAAACCTTCCATTTCTTCCTCTCATGGCAACATTACCCCATCACTCCCCCTTCCTGAAGCTCTCCAACCCACCCGAACCAAACTCCATCTCCCAACCCGCAAATGCAACCCGTCCAAGAACAACCCGGTTAACAATTCATTGCAAAAAACCCAAGAACGAGGAAGCATTCAAGGAGAAGCAGAAAGCCCACGTGGACTACGACAATGGGACCCATCGTGTCTCTGTACAAGTCAGCGGGCTCCGGGCATCCGACTTGCCGAAGCGGCACCGTTTACGGGTCGCAACCGACCGGTTCCAGAAGGACTGGTCCATCTCAGAGGTTGTGGAGAAGATAATGGCGCTCGACCGGTTTGAGGATATTGAAGGCGTCTTGAACCGCTGGGCTGGCCGGTTTGCCCGCAAGAATTTCCCGGTTCTTATCAGGGTAAGTAAACTTTGATGTTTAGTGAATCTTTTGGGACTTAATTTGTATTTAATCATTAAGTATTCAAGCTACTCAAGCTGGATTTGCTTGTTTCAGCTTGGCTCTAAATTCTAACATTGAGCTTAATATGTTTGTGTTCGATTTGATTGGACTCGTTTTCAAATTAAATTTGGCTTTTGAAATATTAACCTTTTAGTTGAACTTTTTGTGGCGCGAAAAGGAAATTTTAAACAATTAAGACTTTAATTTTGTGCTGAACTTTGAATTTGTGGTTTAAGGAGTTCTTTTTGTTACGGCGTTTCTTTTCCATCATTTGCATTTAAACGAAGAAATGCTTGCGACTCGAAATCCTGTTGATAGCGTATGACTTGTTTTGCTTATTAGCCTTTTGACTTGTTGTTTTGGTTTGTTGTTTGATCTTCTGAATATTTTTTATATAGACGTTGAGCTTCTTGTGTTTATGCGGTATAGGAAATAACTCAAACAGGTTCAATTGAACATAGCATTCAAGTGTTTTCTTGGATGAAGAATCAGAAGATATATTGTGCAAGAAATGATATCTATAATATGATGATAAGATTACATGCTAGGCATAATCAAGTGGATCAAGCACGTGGCTTGTTCTTCGAGATGCAAAAGCGGAGGTATTCTTTTTCATTAACTTTATTTTTTCTGTAAAAACATCCACCATCTAGCTTCTATTAATTCCTGCCTTGTTGCTTATCTTTTCCTTATAGATGCAAGCCGGATGTTGAAACCTATAATGCACTCATTAATGTGCATGGTCGAATTGGTCAGTGGCGCTGGCAATGAATATCATGGAAGACATGCTTCGTGGCAGCTGTGTGTAATTGTATTTTTCTTTCCTGATCAATCTTTTTGTAGTTTAATCTGAGCTTTCTTCTTGATTTTTGATTCCTTTTCTAGCTTTCAATTAGTGTATGCTAAAAGTAATCCACTTCAACATGCCTGCAAGCAAACATTGTAGTTATTTTACCACAATTGCTTTCGTTCCCTTATTCATGACTGTGTGATGAATGATAGCGTGAAAGCTTTAGTGACATTAACATGTTGGAGGTGAAATATTTTAACAAACATCAAGTTTTCACTCCATCAATGGGTTGAAAAGACATGAAGATGCTGAAAACTTACTCCATCAAACTCCATTAGAATCAAACAATTGATGAAGAATAAAATTCATTAGGCTAGATGCACTTCTTCAATAGTTCTAATCATGGTCACCCATGTCAACTGTTCTTGTTACATTAAAGTTGGAAGTTTCTCTCTTCATCTGTTTTGAAGATTTGTCATTGTATAGACATCTTTGTGACCTTGATTGATTCATGCAGATTCCACCAAGTAGGTCAACTTACAACAACTTGATCAATGCATGTGGATCTACTGGTAATTGGAAAAGAAGCTCTTAGAGTTTGCAAGCAAATGACCGAAAATGGTGTGGGGCCTGATCTGGTGACCCACAATATAATGCTATCTGCATATAAAAGTGGGGCTGAATATTCTAGAGCATTATCCTACTTTGAACTGATGAAAGGAACAAATATTCGTCCTGACACTACTCCTTAATATTATTATACATTGCCAGATAAAGCTTGGTCAATATGAGAAAGCTGTTCAACTTTTTAATTCAATGAGAGAGAAAAGAGCAGAATGTCACCCTGATGTTGTAACATTTACTACTATCATGCATATGTATTCGGTTTTGGGCCAGGTTGAAAACTGCAAAGCTGTTTTTAACTCGCTGCTGGCAGAAGGTTTGAAGCCTAATGTTGTTTCATATAATGCATTACTTGGTGCACATGCTTCATCTGGGATGAGTACAGAGGCCTTATCAATTTTTCATGAGATGAAACAGAAGGGACTCAGGCCAGATGTTGTCTCTTTTACATCTTTGCTCAATGCTTATGGAAGGTCACAGCAACCACAGAAGGCCAGGGAAATATTTGAGATGATGAAACAGAACCATTGCAAACCAAATCTAGTGAGCTATAATGCTCTCATTGATGCCTTTGGTTATAATGGGCTTTTATCTGAAGCTGTTGAAGTGTTGCATGAAATGGAGCAGAATGGCGTCCAACCTAACGTTGTTACAATTAGTACCTTGTTGGTGGCCTGTGGCAGGTGTTGTCAAAAAGTGAAGATTGAATCCATATTGCGAGCTGCTGAGTTGCGGCACATTAAATTGAACACAGTTGCATATAATTCTGCGATTGGAAGTTACATGAATTTTGGGGACTTTGATAAAGCAATAATTTTATATGGGTCGATGAGGAAACATAATGTTAAACCCGATTCTGTCACTTACAATGTGTTGATAAGTGGTTGCTGTAAGATGTCAAAGTTCTCTAATGCACTTGAATTTCTCAATGAAATGTTGGACCTCAAAGTTCCATTATCCCAAGAGGTGTATTCATCTGCTATATGTGCCTATAGTAAACAGGCAAGGACTATCGATTTGTGACTACTGTCCCTGTAATTAGATTCTCCATACTTATCTCTCTCTCTCTCTCTCTCTCAGGGTCAACTTGCTGGAGCAGAATCAATGTTTTCCATGATGAAGATGGCTGGTTTTCATCCCGATGTTGTCACATATACTGCTATGCTACATGCATATAGTGTTGGTGGTAAGATCCTATGTTGGACTATTTCATATATGCTGGCTTAAAATTACTGATATTAAGAAGCTCAAACTGAATGTCTTGTGGAAATTCCGTATGCAGATGATTGGGAGAAAGCTTTTGCAATATTTCAAGAAATGGAATTGCATGGTGTCCAGCCAGATTCTATAGCTTGTTCAACTCTTATGAGAGCTTTTAATAGAGGATGCCAACCAGGAAAAGTTCTGCTTGCTGCAGATTTTATGAAAGAAAAGAAGATCCCCTTGTCAGATGCTATTTTCTCCGAAATTATCTCAGCATGTACCATGTGAGTTTTTCACTTTTTAAGCATGTTTTTCATGTTACATTACAATGCTAATTTCTCTATTGTAGAATCCTTCTGCAGTTTTTAACGGATATGATTGGATTCTGTTATTTTGTGTGGGTATAAGTTTGATTTTTGTGGCCTGGTTATAAGCGTGATTTGAAGTGTTCTTTTTTACATATTTACAATGCACTTATGGATGTGGCTAGCTGGTTGGATCAGTGGCACTTGTGAAATTTACTGCATCATGTAACAGCTTTTTGCTTTAAGTTACAGAAAAAGAAAACATGCTAAATCAGCTTAGCATAAGAAAGTGGGAACGATTTTGAGTGGTTTCTAGTGTTCCTCATGTAACTTAATAGGTTTCTGGAACATGGTGAAATACTTGGTCATCTCTGATTAACATGCTAGTGCAAATTGATTAATCATTCAAAGGCATGTCTTATTGTTGTCAAACCAAAAATACGAGAGCTAAACTAGGAATGCAACTGATCACTGACTGGCAAAGTTTAGGGGTATCTGGAATTATCTCAAATGTGATGGTTTTCCTTTATGCTCATTTATTGGATTAGTAGAATTATAGCAGAGTTTTCCCTATTATAAAACTTCTGTGATTGGTACTGGATAGCAACTTGTGAACTTGCTTCAGAAATTCCACTGTGTTTTCTATTCCTGGTCTTTAAATCATTTGTTTGTGAATGAAGCTTGCGAGATTGGAGAAGAACTACTGAAATTATAAAAATGATGGAGACTTCATTAGCTGTTATCTCTGTTGGAACTCTTAATCAACTTTTGCATGCTATCGGGAAATCTGGGAAGATTGAAACCATGATGAAGGTAATTGGAAGCTTCTCATTTATTCTTCTCTTATACCTAGAATAAATGCAACAGCATTTCCTCACGCAAAGTAGGATCTATTTTCTCTTTCCTAATTTGAAGTCTGAGTCCTGATGCCTTTATTATCCTTTTCGTATCAAATACAGTTATTCTACAAGATGGTGGCATTAGGTAGTGAAGTCAACTTCTCAACGTATTCAATTCTCTTAAAGAATCTTTTGGCTTCTGGAAATTGGAGGAAATATGTGGAGGTAAGCTCATAAAATGCCTCTGTTATTTTCCCTGTTTATACATTGATATAGACATGCATCAATGTGCATGTGCCTGTGTATCTGGACATATTGTCATGATCATTGGACTACTAAACTAAAAATATGTGCCTTCACCAAAATGCTCATGTAAGAATTAGTGATGACCCTTCTGGATTATGCAGGTAAACTTGTCCTTAAAATATTATATAGGGGAAAAGCTATAGATGGAGAAATTCCAGTTACAAGATTATGAATCTGGTATTATATTTACTCTGCCTGTTTGAGAAGACTGCTCAATTGGCATGAAATCTAGGAATCTTGGAGTTAAAAGTCACTACATCCTGCTTCTGGCTGGAAGCACTTGACATGTCATGTTTTTTTTAGTTGGTGATTATATGTAGATAGCTGTTCCCATTTGTAGTTGGAAATGAATATACTGAATCTTACTCATTCATTCGGTCTCTCCTTGAGCTATATTCAGCTAAATTCTGGTGCAGGTTCTGCAATGGATGGAGGATGGAGGAATTCAGCCTTCAATGAAAATGTACCATGACATACTATCCTTTGCTCAAAAAAGCGCTGGAATTCAGTATGGAGCTACCATACAAGAGTGTGTTGGTAAGTTAGCACTCAAAGGGGCAATTAGCATCTCTGTTGCATACTATTTATGCAGAATACCACTCCCTACTTATTTACTAAGAAACTGAAGAAGCCTCAAAAAACTGAAGATTTGTTTTGTTGCATGCTTTTATCTTGAGGAATCTTTCTGGAAAATTGCTTTTGACCCATTTTTATGCATGTAAATAAGATAGTAGAAGGCAATCAGAGGTTCCTGAAAGTGAGTTTTTAACTTTAAAAGTGATTTTACATTAGAACCTGAATTCCATTCCATGCTTAAGCTTTCAATTTTGTCACAATGTGTGTGTAGCTCTAAGTAGTGGCATCTGAACGATTGCTTGGCTTTGATAATTCGATTTATCTTCATATAATCCTTGAGTCTGACTGCAAAAAGCTTTTGACTCAAATTGCTACTTTTTAGACTGAATTGCAGATAATATATCACTTGAGTTGATTGACTTGACCAAGCGTGGAATTTGTTGGTCTAATCAACTTCAGTCAAGCTACAATGGCTTTGTATTTTTCCTCAGGAAACCTTCTCAAAGGCATTTAATCATGTAAATCTTTGAGTTCTATAATTACTTCTTCTTCGAATGTGAATAGCTTGGGATTGCTTATGCTCTATTTTTTGACTGAAAATGTTCCACTTAAGTCTAGGTCTAGGACCAGAGTTACCTTGCACATCATGCCCAAGTAACAAGGATGAAATTGAGGATCTTCTATCTTGATCCTTCCATGTCTTCATACGCAGGAATAAACTTTTTCTCTTGCTCATTTCATTTGATTACAATTTTGAATGCTTGACAGAATCCATGAAGAGGAGAAGTAAAGTTGAAGCATCGCTGGAAAAGCCAAGAGAATCCTCCTCGCAAGCCCAAGCATTGGTAGGTGGAGTAAATATTTTATAGGAATGATCTGGCAGTTGCAGTAGAAACAGGGTGTATAATCTTGATGTTATTACATATCTTGGATAAACTTCCATGGCTTGGTTTCAGGAATCTAGTTTCATTCGTCTGCTCAATTTGATAAATAACAGAAAGGATTATAGCAGCTTATCTCTCAAATCACCGAGTCTGCATCAGGGGTGGGGGAAAAAGCCATAACATGTAAATGTCTCGCTATAATAGATGCTCTGTTTCACGAAACAACTGTGTCATCAGTTAGTGATTTCTCCCATTACTTGTTAGAGATACATAACGCCTATATGCAGGATTTATAACTGTGTGGTCCAAAAGATTATGTAATTCAAAGCCAGAGAAAACGATAGCGAGTTTACTCTTGGCTCAAGTGAAGGGCCATAATAATGTCAAGTCAGTGAAAATGGAAAGTTAGCTCCTGTGATTTTTAATCGGTTTTGCGTTGTAAAGTTTCACCGGCTTCATTTTAATTTTTTCTTTCTCCCTGTTTTTTGGAAAGGGAACAAATTATTTGGTTTAAATCGAATACTGTAACGCTGAACCTGTATATGGTTGTTTGTTCAACAATTCAACCAGGCCTCCTGGGGCTGACTGAAAAGGGACATTATGCCAATGGACCATTCAGTGGTGTGTTAATTAACAACCTGTGGAGAAATTTCATTCATAATGCAATCGGAAAGAGTTTTTCACAAAAGAAAAATTAAAGAGAGAGAGAGAGAGAAGGAGCAACAGGAGTCAAGAGTTGCGCGACCAATAGGTAACCAGCAACCTGTTTAGAAGGTATAATTGTCCAAGCTCTTAGCAGCAAGTCAAAACAAAACTGATGAGTTGACAAAACATCACATCTATACGTGAAATAACAGAAGATACATCTTGTATTTTATCATGTGTATACATTCCCCCGTTGAAATGCAAGCAGCCTTAGTTAAGTGTACATGTATTAACAAATAAGAAATGCTCAGGCCTCAGATTCTATTCATACATTCACCCTGTATAGGTCCAAGCATTACAAAGCAGAACAGGACAAATTTTTAGGGCCATCGAGATTGTACTTTGAACCCCACAAGAGTAGTGACTACCAAGTTCAAGCTCAATTATGGAAAAGAGCAATTGATCTATCCGAAACAACTGTGCAATACCCAGAATAGCGATAATCCATATGTTTAGCCTGAAAAGTCCAGTCTGCACAATTCAAAAACCAGCAGGGTGGCAGCCACTACTCTTCATGCATCGTAGCATCCCCCTAAAAAATCATAATTATTGATGGTAATGAACTCCAGAAGAGCATTCAAACTGAAAGAGCAAAGTGCAGTGACAAACAATCAGTGATTAATTTCCCAAACAGCAAAAGGTTTTAAGGGCCATTGAAGTTGTACCAAAAACCCCCACAAAGTTGTGACTGCCAAGTGCAAAATCAACTATGCAAAAGCAAATGAACTGCTGAAACAATGTGCAACACCAAGAATAGCTATAATCCATGCCTAGCTTGCAAAGTCCGGTCAGCACAATTCGACATTCCTTGAAACATCATACTTGTTGATCATAATGAACTGCCTAACAGCAATTTTATTAGAAGAACAAAGTGCAGCAACAACCAACCAGTGATTGATTTCCCAAATAGCAAAAACAAAAGGTCAAAAGTGCACAAAACACCCAAAAAGACATCAACATGGCAAAAAGAACCAGATTGTCCAAAATCAATGAAGTCATGTTAAAAAATCAATTTGCGAAAAACAGTACCATCGGCTATTGCTTTTTTGGAGTTGGGAGGTGTATACTTCTTGTCGTTTGCTGTTAGGTTTCCAAAAGAAATCCAAATTAAGCAGAAGGATGACAAGTACATTAAAAGATATGGAACAACAATATGAAATAATCCTAGCTACTTTGAAAATTCTTGATATCATATGGGAAGAAAAAGTAATTACCTACTAACACCAGCAGTGAGGAATGAATTTCCAATGCAATTGTGGTACACTGAACAGCAGATTATGGCCCTTGTCATTTCTTGAAGAAGTTGGCAGTCATCCAGAGTTGCTCGGACGGTTGTCTTTAATTTCGACCAAAACTGCTGAGCATCATCTTATTATGTTTATGAATGAGATGCTTACTGCTTCAGTTTGAAAGAAACAGAAGCAACCTTTGTCCTTTCAATAAGATCCATAAATCATCACAGTACCAACATGCACAAAAAACTCAAACCTCATCCTCGAGGGGTTAAGATTCAGAAGTGAGACTTCGGTCAAGAAGAGCATAAGACCGACCGCTGAGTAGAATGCAAAGGGCAGAAATAAAAGTGAACTTTTGAAGCATAGACCGCCTTCATGAACCCAGAACAGACCCATACTAACTTGTATCTTAAGATACAGATCGGCCTTCAAGTAAAATATTTTGGGAACAGAACACAGACTTGGGTGATTAATAGGTAGCCAGTAACCTGTTTAGAATACAATGTCCAAGTTCTTAGCAGTATGTCAGACCAAAATGAACCATGACAGGAATCTGTTAAAACAAAATCACATCCATAAATGGAAAAAATTAAAAACATAATTTAAAAAGAACATGTTGTGAATTCAAGCAGGCTTAAGGTACACGTATTAACATGTCATGAAATCTTTAGGCTCCAAATGCCATTTATGTGTTCTCATTGTATAGGTCCAAGCATTTCAAAACAAAACGCCACTACATTTTTAGGGCCATGGAAGTTGTACCTATGAACCCCAAAAAGTAGTGACTGCCAAGTGCAAAGTTAGATACTCAAAAGCAACTGAACTGCCAAAACAACTATGCTACACCCATGATAGCTATAATCCATCCTAGCTTGCAAATTCCAATCCATAGAATTCGACAACCAGCAGGGTGGCAGCTACCACCATTCATGCTTCAGAGTATATCCCTTAAAAAACCATAACCGTTGACGTGATTGACAGGGTTTCCGGTCTAATATAACGAACTCCAGAAAACCATTCAGACTAAAAGAAGAAAGTACAGCAACAACCAACCAGATATTAATTTCCCAAAAACACCAAAAAAGACATTAAAATGGCAGCAGAGAACCAGATATAGAAAAAGAAATAAAATTATATAAAAATCAAATAATTTGAGGAAAACCGCACCATCAGCTATTGCTTATTGGAGTTCAGAGTCGATCTGGATTGCTAAATTCTCGCAAAAGGCCAATCCATATACTTTTCGTCATTTGCTGTCAGTTTTTCAGAATAAATCCAGTATAAGCAGAAGGCTGGAATACATACATTGAAAAATAAGGAACAACAAAAGGAAATAACCCTAGGTAGGTTGATCATTCTTGAAACATTGTGGGGAGAAAAAGTGATTACCCACTGACAGCGGTGAAGAATGAAGATCAAACACGTTCATGGCACATTGAACTGCAGCTTATGGCCCATGTCAATTCTAGTAGAAACTGCTCTCTTCCATGGTTGCCTTCGATGGCACTCTTAACCTTTAAGCAAAACTGCTGAGAATCATCTTGTCATGTTTATGATGGCTTATGCTTACTGCTTCGTTTTTAAAGAAGAAGAAGCAGCATCTGTCCTTTAAATAGGATCCATGTATCATCATGGTGCCAACATGCAGAAAAGACCAAACTCATTCTTCAAGGGACTCAGAATTCAGAAGTGAGACCTTTACCCAGAAAAGCATATGAGCGGCTGCAGGAGTGGAATGTGAAGGGCGGAAATAGAAGTCAACTAGTGCAGTATAGACCACCTTCATGAACCCAAAACAGACCAGGTACCAATGATTTCTGTCTTAAGCATACAGGTCTAGTTTCAAGCAAAACATTTGGAGAAATGGAAACCCAGAATCTGAAACTGAAAACCAAGCCATAACTCATGTAAGAACCCAAATTACCCAATTTTAGACAACAGAAGTGGGTTTGTGGATTTAATCTGCCAGATAAACACTACTTCAAAAATAACCTCCTAGTACTCTCCAGATGGGGCAGAGAAGAGCATCCAAAAATCTGCAACGTTGAATGAAAACCAATCGCTAGAAAACTTACCCATGTGACACACTTTCCAGTTTTCTTACTTTTCTATATCTATGATGAATTAAAAGGGATTTAGTATTTTTGTAAAGATAGGAATCTAAATTGTATCCCATGGACTTCATTTCTTTTAAGAGATAAAATGCATCCTCCGCCTTCTCTTGAGAATGAAGTAACATAGTTAGTAGATTGTTGCAGATTCGTGGCATCAATCGGATGCCTTTCTCCAGAGTGTACAGGAAAATGCTAATTGCCTGATCCAGCTTTCCATCAGTGCAAACACTCTGGATTAACATCACACAACCAGGAGCAGATATATTTATAGAAAGCTCCTCAAGGATGGAGAAAACCTTTAAAGCCTCCTCTGTTCTTCGTGCCTGACACAGACCAATGAGCCAAATATTATAAGGTGCAGAATCAAAAGTTACTGACTGAAAATCAATTTCAAGTATCCCTTTAACAGCCATTTCCAAGTTTCCCTCCTCAAAATGTTTTTCAATGGACCCAATTTTTTCATTTGCCTCACCACCAACAGCCTTCATATATTTCAACCAAATGCTAGAAGCCAGGATGTCTTCATATTTCTGCAAGCCCAAGTCATAAGTGACTTGTAAACCTCTGGGCCAGGCGTGCATCCATTATTACTCATCTGTTCAAAGAGCTTAAATGCATCCTCTTCACGACCAGCCCTCTGAAGCCCATCTATTAGAGTTCCATATGTGATTTTATCGGGAGAATGCCCCTTGAGTTGGAGCTCCTCAAAAAGTTTGAAAGCACCATTCAAATTGCCACCTTTGCATAAGCCATTTATCAAAATGTTGTATGTTATGACATTTGGTACAACCCCACTATCAGCCAGCTGCATGAGAAGCTTGTAAGCTTTTAATATCAGCCCAGAGTCGCACAATTTCTCCACCATTGTTTGGAGGCTTGCACTATCAAGGACTCTATCTGCACCCTGAGAAAGCCTTAGAAATAATGAAGGATTTTTTCCTATCTCCATCCTGTAGAACATAAGGTGAGCTTTCTCAAGCTGACCAGACATACATAAACCATGAATAAGAGCATTAAAGGTTACAACAGAGGGAAAGCAGCCAATCTTCTCCATCTCATCAAAAATATTCTGCGCCTCTCGAACCATGCCATTCTCACACAAAGCACAAATTAAAACAGTATAAGTGCATGTATCAGGGAAGAGATCATTCCTTGAAATTTCTAGCTGAAGAGACCGCGCTTGATCTAACAGACCTATGTCACAGAACCCCTTAATTAAAGTATTGTAACATTGAGTATCTGGTACAACACCCCTTTGTGTCATGTCCTTCAACAGATTCAAAGCATCCTTTAACCTTCCAGCTTGCGATAGCCCACGCATCATAGTCGTATATAATACTCGATCAGGTATCACAGGAATCTCAAAAAGTTTCTGAAAGAGTTCGTGTGCTTCATCAATCCTACGGGCTCTAATCAAGCCATCAACCAAACAACTGTAGCCTGGTAGTTTAACGGCATAGCCATCTTTTGTAAAAGACTTCAACAGGGCAAATGCCTCATCAACCCTGCCTAACTTACAAAACCCATTAAGCAAAGCATTATAAGTGACATTATCCGGCAAACAACCACTAGTCTTCATCAAATTAAACAGCCTATGTGCATCATCAGTCCTCTTCGCCTGACACAAACCCGAGAGAATCACAGTGTAGGTAATCTTACTAGGCAACAATCCTAGATCACGCATTTCATCAAACAGATGCAACGCATCCTGAGTCTTCCCACTCTTGCACAACCCATGGATCAAAATGTTAAAAGTCGAGCGATTAGGCCTACAATTTGATTTCAACATCATATTATACAGTGCCAACGCTAACAAAATGACATCTTTCTTAACTACAACATGCAATGTTGTGTTATAAACAAATAAATCCGGTGTACAATCGAACTCTCTCATTTTCCGAATGTTTCCACGGCCTTTTCAGCATTTTTAATCTTCCAATACGCCGAAATCAATACGACCAATGCAGCTGAATCCATAGGACCCAACCGTTTCCTAACCTCGTCAAAAATCCTCCAATATAACTCAAACCCATCAAGATGACCACTTTTACCACTACAATTATCCCCAACAAGCATGTCAACTATTAAACTATGTGAAGCCCGACTGCGAAGACGCTTGTTCTTCATAGCCCAGATAAAAAATCTAAATCCCAATTCAAGGTTTTTCTTTTTTTCTTCAATAACAGAAGCTACCACTTCACGAGTTATAAAAGGGACTACCTTCTCAAGAGCTGGCTCCATTGGGCTAATTTGCTCAATGATATTGAGAACCTCATTGGTGACCGCCAATTTGCAAGAAGATGAAGAAAATGATGCCCGGCGACGGTGAAGGTTATACGAATAAGAACGGGAAATCACATCGGAAGTCGTCTTTCTTAACATTTTCAATTGGTGGCGCTGAGAAGTTCGCCTGCATGAAATCGGAGCATTGTGGCTAGCAGTAATGGGCCTGTTGTCTGTTGCGGCCTATTGGAGGAATGGGCTTTGGCCTTAAGTACTTGGACGCATCAGAACAGCCAAGTCCAATTTGTTTTGCAGTTCAGCCTAAAGTCCGAAATGGAGTTCCTATCGGCAGCGAATGTGGGGTGTAGGCGAGTCAAGTTACTTCTGAATAACTTGCAACTTGCAAGCAAAGTTCAGGCATTAGTATCTAGTACTCGAGTGTTCAACGAGTCTAATCTTTTTTTTTTTTTTTTTTTCGGAAACGATAAATCTAATCTATCCTATGTTAAGGGGAAGGGATGGGTCTAAGGAGGCCCAGAAATAAGTCGGAGGGGACTGAACCACCACTAGACCAAATGAGTGCACAGCACACCCGTCTAATCAGATAGATTAGGTTCAACGAGTCTAATCGGATAGTTGTATTATTTATATAATATATATATATAATTATAAAATAGCTATTATGGGTTCATGTTTTATCAAAAATCGAACTCAAACATCGTGCTGCTACTCATGTCCGACTCGACTTGATAGCACTGTACTGGCGAATTCGTTAAAGAGTGAATAAAGGATAACACGATAAATAAAAGAAAGTAAGATACTATCTTACTACTAATCTTGTTATTAATATGAAAAAAATATACATATTCAATGTTTATTATTTTTAAATTTTGGTGGTAAAATAAGAATTTTGTTATATTAGTTAGTTATAATTAATTTATAAAACTATTAATTACTCGTGTTTTATTTCTTTTTATATAAATCTTATTTCGTGATACTAAATTGTAACTTATCGACAAATAAAAAAATTTTGTAATTACCATGCACTAGAATGTGCATAAATCACAAGTTTGAATAATTCTTTAATTAAGAAATATCGCTCAAAGATAGAAGATCAAAAAAATAGAGTTAAATGTCAAAGTTTGCATGCCACTACAACTTAACGTTGTGCAATTTATTTATTTATTTTTTTTTTTGTTGTGACTAAAGCAGTATTTTAATGGTGACGGAGGAAACTGAATAATTAATTGGTTAAAATGTTGAATTTGAATAAGTCGTCAAATCCAAGCTAGAAAAGTTCGTTGCACCTCTTTTGCTTTGTTTGCCAAGGTCACTTTTGTCAGAGGATGACTTGGAGCCACGTCTTTTGAGTTTTGAGGATCTATAAACAAATAAACAGCGCCAATAACGAATAACCACGAAACCCTCATCTTTGTTCATTTTCGCCGTCCTCAAGGATGGATGGAGAATAAAAATTATAGAAATGATGTATTTATGCTATCCATAAACAAAGATAATCTATCCTAAATTCACTTGTCCTCTTGCCACATCATTCCAATTTGTTAGAAGAGCCAAAAATCAACTAGCAATTAGTCAATTGTATGAACTACTATATAAATTTGCAATTCAGCGGTGGTGGGCTGAAGTTGTACGCATCAATCGCACGAGGTTGGTCCAATGGTTAGGAGATGTTTTTTTATTGTTCTTTCTGATATTGAGTTCATGATTCGAATTCTATATCTAGTATTGTCGGGAGTGAAAATTGTGTGGGAAAGAACGGAAGGGTTACAAAAAAAAAAAAGATAAAAAAAGGATCTTTCTTCACTTCATTTTTTATTTGCAACCAACCATTTCCTTGACGAAGGACTTGACTCTTCTTCGGTGGATTCTCTATCTATTTCTCGCAGTACATGTTTAGATGCACGACACGTGTCTTTATTTGTTAACAGATATTAGGATTAATCAAATTTAAAATGATCATGTCTCTTTCTAGTAAATGAATACACATGTCATATACTTAGATATACAATGCGAGAAATGAAGAGAGAATCCACTGAAAAGAACCCAAATCACCTTAATTAATGAAATGCACATGCAATTTTTTTTGCAATCAAATCTAGAGACTATCAATTGTCAAAATCATCTATCCAAACCAAGGGTGCAAGCTTTAGAAACAGATTTTTTTTTTTTGGTCATACATAACAAATATATCATTGCAACAAATATAATTCAGAAACAAGTGATGTATCTCTCATGATTTGTATGATCATTACTATCTTAAAATTGAACTTAAATTTTTACAGTTGAGAAATCCAATTTCATTGCAAAATGTAACACAAAATTTTTTTTTTTGGGGGGCCGGGGGGGGGGGGGGGAGGGGATTGGGGGACTAAAAGTCTAAAACAGTTTTCCAAACTATGTTGCTGCCACGAGGGAGGATATGCATGTAAAGTTATGGTGGCTGCCACGAGTTCCACAAGTGGTTTAGAATAGTCTTATTTTTTAATTATTTTTCAGGCTTAAAAGCGAAGGGATAAGGGCCAGGGGTCGGCTGCGTGGGCAATAATGAGATGGAGACAAGCTCAGCCGCTGCACCGTGGCGCCTCGACATCAAGGTGGGGATAACAGATCAAAACGGTACTCTTTTGATGTTGTGACTGTGTGTTTAAGGAAAATATCAGAGCGCAGTGTGGGCCCGCCAGCCATTTTAGGTGCTTTTACGCTGCTAACCTTGATTTCCACTCTCTATTATTGGTTAGTATTTAAATAGTGAATGTGCTTTTGACTATGTGTTTATTAATACGAAAAAACTAAGGAAACTTATTACTGAAAGGTAGAAATGAATTATCAAAAAAATATGAAATAAGTAGTAATGCTCCCTCCGTCCAATCTGTTTGTTATATTTCGGGAATCTAACTTTTTAAAAATAATATTTTAATTATGAAGTTTATACTTTTCTTTTCAATTTTACTCTCCAAATTTCAAATTTTAAATTTAAATATAAGATATCTTTGAATAAAAGAAGGCACACTTTTGGAACAAAGGTTAAAAACGGCTTTAAGTTTTATAATATGACAAATATTTTGAAATATTTCAAAATAAAAAGTATACAGATAATATAAATTATTTCAAATTGATATGTCTAAATAATAATTATGTGATAAAAAATTATTTACTTTATCACAAAAATATTTTTGAGAATATTTATTTTATTATTTTAAAATTATTTTTTATTTCATATATATCACATCATAAAAATATTATAATAATTATTTTAACTAATCTTTCAAATATGATAGGTTAATTTTTTTTTTTTTATGAATGGTCAACAGCGTAACATACACGAGTCATATGAATTAAGGGTAAAACATTGGACCACAGATTTATGAATTTCGTCGACATTGACTAGTAGGTGGCATAAGCCAAGCAGCCAAGGGGGTTCTAGAAGGATTTAGTCAGTGGTCAGGGGCGACATTCCCCAGCTAACTCCAGATTGTGACGGCTAAAGGTGTTGCCCCCATATTTTGCCAATTTTATAGATTTGGCACCATATATTTTTGCTTTCCTGATGTCAAGCGTGGGATATTCCTTCTCTACAGCAGCATATACTAAGTAACTAATTGATTTACAATAAAAATTAATAATAACTGACCCCTTAGGCCTACGAATTGCACAGGTGTAAATAGTTAGTCTATCAAAAGATTTGACAATTTTGATTTTAGAAAAAAAATAAAATAAAGACAACTTGGTAAGACACAACACTTGGAGCAAAGGATTATGGCCTCATTATTAATTACTGCAATATCTGTTCGTTTCATTGTTCTTAGTCTTCGAAGGTTGACAGGATTTTAGTACTTTTAATTGACTCATTTGCTTTACATGAATTAAAAAAAATTAAAATTCCATGTTGGGCATTACTAACTTGAAGCTGGAAATATTCAAGAAAATGAAAAATTAGATAGATATTAATAATGTTCTCAACTTGCTACATTTTTTTAAAAATTATTAAAGTTTAACTATATTGACTAAAAGATAAACAAATTGAACATCCCATTATTTCGTCGGAACTTAAATTTAAATCTGAAACACTTCAATTTTCTATTTTAGCATTGCACGTTTCAAAATCTCTGGCACCTCTAACACAGTACCAAATACTCACATGTAACTAGTCTTTAGAGTATTAAATATTACCAAAGAAATGAATGTACAATACAAATGCTTTAACCTAATTTTTTGAACTTTTATGCCGTGTTATGTAGTACTTTTACAATTATAAACTGCGATTAATGACTTGAATGAGTTCAATATGCGTAAATCGATTTGGGTGAATGTTTGTACACACTTCTAATGTATGGAATTTTATTGTTTATTGGCTGCATCTTAGCATCTTATTGTAATTCAATGATGTACAATTCATGATTACCTTAAACAATTTAGCAATGTCCATCGTATCTTAAAATTGTAGAGAAGAAAGGAAGAATGGAGCAGGAATTCCATGCACTCCTTTCAACTAATTGAAACAGGTTAATATTTATGAAATTTCTATCTATGATTATAATTCAATACACTCTTATCATATTATTACCTCTAAAATCATTTAAAGGTTGATATCTTTTTTTTTTTTCACAAATCCAATGATGAATTGATATTCATTGGTATAGATACCTGCTCAAAAGGTATGGTAAAACTCCCCTATAGTGCCTTTACAAATCCAACGATAATTGATTATAGGATTTTTTTAATGAGTGCTCATCGAGCACTTACTAACACACCTAAAATTTACCTAACTTACTATATATATACACATATTATAATTATTACTTTCTCTTGTATTTATATACTTTTCTATTTAATTGTATCCACCCTCATTTGTACTTATTTATTTTTTTAATTAAATTTTATATTTTAAAAAATATGACACGTGAAACATATTTTAACGAGTAGCCAAACAAACAGACCCCCATATTAATTGTGCCAAAGAGCAACTACATATAAAGTCAGGGAGCCGGAGCAAATTGAAGAGAATACAAGTAAGAGAATACCCGGTAAAAGGAATGAGAAAAATATTTCAAAGAGAACAAATAAGAATAGACAAACGTTTCAATTGAAGTTTCTTTTAACGAAGACCCCCGTCAAGTGTCATTACTCATCAGAATCAACTTTCCTAC